GACCAGGATGGTCTCGATCTCTTGACCTCGTGATCCACCCGCCTCGGCCTCCCAAAGTGCTGGGATTACAGGCGTGAGCCACCGCGCCCGGCTGCTAGGTTTCTTACAATCCTGAGATAGATATCATTTTACAGATAATCAGCTGAGGCTCAGAAAAGCTACATGACAATTATGTGGTTGGCATTTTTTACGGGTTTCTCACATAACCCCTGTGAGGTAGATTTTTTTCCCCTTATTTTACAGATGGGAAAAACCATGGCTCAGAGAGGTATAGCAAACTGACATACAGCCAGCTGTGGAGCTGAGATTCACAGCCAAGGCTGGCTCTGAAGCTGTCTTTACCACATCAAAGGTGGAGCAGAGGGTCTTACAACCTGGCAACTCCCCTGCTGGGAACTCTCCAACACTGGCCTGGAAATACTTTTACATCATTTGGCAGGAAGGGCGGCAGGAACCTGAGTCTCTGATTACAGTCAAGATGATGAGCCCAGGTTGAACTGTTAATATTATGAGAAGGAGAACTTGGGCGGTGAAAGGGCTAGGAGTTCAAAAAGGGGCTGTGTAGGCACAAGCTGCTCCAGGGTGTCATTTCCCTTGGCCACGCTGCCCTCCCCATTCCCTCTAGGAGGACTGTACCTTCCCCATTAGACTCCATTCTTGAGGCTGTGTTGACCGTGTCCCCAAAGAGACAGTAACGAGGCATCTTCAGTCCCACCACTCCGGCACACACGGGTCCTGGGAGGAGCAAGGGAAGGAGCAGAGCCCATCAGTGAGGGAGGGAGGGAGGGGTGTTAAGGGAGGTAGGTGGGCAAGGGGGGGGGTGAAGAGAGAGAAAGAGAGAGAGAGAGATATGAAAGGGTGAGTGCCGGGCCAGGGGACAAATTTCCCTTGGAAGCCTTGGCTTGCGGATGCCCCACCTGTACCTTCAGTGGCCTCACCTGTGTGGATGCCAATGCGCAAGCGCAGCTGCTCCTGGGGCCGGTGGCGGATTCGGAAGGAGCGCACAGCATCCAGCAGCGCCAGGGCCATGCGGGCCACCTCGCAGGCGTGGAGCCGCCCATTCCGCACAGGCAGCCCTGACACCACCATGTAGGCGTCGCCAATTGTCTCCACCTGTTGGGGTGGGGAGGGGGTGCAGGACTTGAGGGCTGCAACTGTGTGGCTGGCCACACCGTCACACTGGGTGCAGCGCCTGTCATTCTGTACCCTCATCTGTCTTTGCTCATCCTCCATCCCACATGGGTTCTCTGCCTGTTCCTGGGTCTCCCTGTGCCACTGTCTCTTCCCATGTTCCCTGGTCTCCTCTCTTAAGACTCCACATCATTCTGCCTACCCCTCATCTTTTTCTGACCCTGTCCACGTCTGTCTGTCTGTCCTTCCCATCCCCACTCCCACCCTCACCTTGTACACATCAAAGTTGTCTATGACAGCATCAAAGCAAGTGTACAGGTCATTGAGCAGGGTCACCACCTGGAAGGGAAGAGAAGCTAAAAGAGACAGGAAGTAAGGGACCCCCATCTGGGCTCAAGTGGGAAAAGCAGAACCAGAAGGCAGGTCTGGTGGAATCCAGACACTGAGCCAGGCCAGCCTGCCTGCCTGGCACCTGCGGCTGATCCCTGGCCTACCTGCATGGGTGTGCTCTCTGCTGACAGCGCTGTGAAACCCACAATGTCACTGAAGTAGATGGTAACGCTGTCAAAGGCTTCGGCCTGCACTGTCTCCCCACGCTTCAGCTGCTCAGCCACTGAGCTAAAGGGTCAGAGCAGGTGCAGGATCAGAGGGGAGGGCCAGGACAGGGCCTTTGTGTTGGGGGCTCCCCAGACTCAGGCACTCACTGAGGCAGGATCTGGTAGAGCAGGGCCTCGGCCTTGCGCTTCTCCTCCAGGTACGCCTGGGTCCGCTCCTCCACCAGCTCCTCCAGGTTGTTCGCGTACTGCTCCATGCGGGACAGCAGGTTGTCCAGGATGTTGCTGCTGTTCTCCCTGGGGCGGCGGGTGGCGGTGGGGGTGGTGAGAGAGGAGCAGCGAGGCCTCCCTGGGAGCGCCCACCCCCAGGCACTCCCCCTGCCCAGGCTGCAATGGGGACTCTGGAGAGACTCGGGGTTGAGGGCACAGCAGGATGCGGGGGAGCAGGGGAAAACAGAAGGAAGAAAGTTCAATTCCTCTCTGAGACCCCCAGGTCAAGTATGAAGCTTCAGACAGGTGGCCACTTTGTTCATCTTTGTTGAAACCAGTAGGTTGGAAGGAGGTGGAGGCGGTGGAGAAGGACAAGGGTCAATTGCAAAGTGATGGCCACAGAAGGGTGTGTCTGGAGGAACTGGGCCTGGTGGGCACACTGGGCAAGAGAGATCGAGGACTGGGCAGGAGCTCCTGTGGAGGTCCAAGAGCCTACAGGGCAGGAGTCAGGGGGCCCAGCTACTCTGCACACTGCTGAGAAGTCCAGGGGCCAGCAAGGGGAGTGGGCAGGAAGGGTGTAGGGTGTCGACGGTGGAGGGAAGGGGTATAAATGGCAGGGGACTGTGGGAACAGATGTATTTGTGAAGAGGGCCATGAGGCTGCGGTGGGCTGGAGCAGACAGACTGTGTAGGGAGGAAGTGAGTGGTCTCCCTCTGCCACTGCGGGGATAAGCCAGAAGCGTTGGGTAAATGGTGGCTGTGGAGGAGGGGCCTGGGGGATTCATGACAAACACCAGGGACCTGTTAAACTTGCGCAGCGTCAGGCGGATCTGCTGGAATGGCGGCCTCTCCTGCGGGTCCTCTGCCCAGCACCGCTGCATCAGCAGCCCCAGCTCCTCCAGGTGACTCTGCAGGGCCAGGGAAGGCCGGAAGGGGGGCTGCTCACCCCGAGTCACCCGCTCGATGATCTCTGTATTGGGAGGTAGAGGAGCTGAGGGGTGGGGCTGGCCAGGGGCCTGTTGAGAGACTGGGGCAACCAGCTGGGGTGGCAGGGGAAGTCCAAGACCAAGGCAGGGGGGCTGGGGACTGGTCACTGACAGCAATGGGTCAAAGGGTGGCGACTGAGCCCCATTCCAGAAGGAGGGTGTGGTGGTGCTGCCAGGGGACCCTCTACCTGGGACTGTGGTTTGTTGAGACTGTGGGCAGGTTTGAGGAAGGCGTGCTTCTCTCACCTTTGGGGCTGAGGTCCAAACCTTCCACATGGAAGACCCCACTCCTCAGGGCAATCTCCTGAAGGATGATCCCAAAGCTGTATACGTCACCAGCCTGGGAGCCGCGCACAGGGGGTGAAGCCATTCGCAGGAGCTCAGGGGCTGTCCACAACTTTTCTGTGGGTCAGAGGTCAGGAGTCACCAAGTGAGGGAGCCCAAAGCTAAGAGGTGAGGGGAAACGAGAATGTGGCAAAACTGATCTGGATGCATCACAGAGGATCTGGATGCATCACAGCGGATTAGAGCTAGAGGAGGCCTTAGAGACCACTTTGTCTGGCCTTCCCTTTTCCTTTTTTTTTTTGAGATGGAGTCTTGCTCTGTTGCCCAGGCTGGAGTTCAGTGGCATGATCTCAGCTCACTGCAACCTCCATATGCTGGATTCAAGCAATTCTCCTGCCTCAGCCTCCCGAGTAGCTGGGACTACTGGTGTGTGCCACCATGCTCGGCTGATTTTTTGTAGTTTTTTTTTTTTTTTTTTTTTTTTTGAGACGGAGTTTC